CTACACTCATACACATAAAGATAATAAATCAAATATTAAATTATAACAATAAATATATCTTTAAAGAACAGCCACGAAAGCAACGCTGAGTAGGAAAGTCCCTACACACATTTCACTACAAGTATTCGCCATGTACCTAGATGCTCTTAAAATACGCCAACCATGGTAAGCAGCCACCTTACTAACGAGAGCCCATCTAAGGGACAGCAATTTGTGACTGTATTTCTCGCACATCTCCTGTCTATTTAGCAGTCAAGACCTGCCACCCTCTCTAATCCCCTCCATCACCACAAAAGGGAAAAGTGCAGAAAACCAGTTAGCAGGACCAACAGAGCCAACTGCGCAGCTACGGTGACGTCTCCAACCCCGCCTTTTAGAGGAGACATGTTGGCAACGCTGACCCCTGTAAGACCCCGCTAAACCTGATCTGGATGCCAGGCCTGTCCTTCCTGTCACAAACCATGACCGAAACTCTCACTTTGACCTGACCTCGGTCCTGGCAGAGCCAGAACAAGGAAGTAGCTGCTCTTGAGCAAGTTACACGCCTAGGCAACTGCCTGTGGCTGGCCTGCTGGAAAGGAACAAGCCAACTCTGATCTCAGGCGCCGGCGTGGGGGTCCCAAGGGCCTAGGGGTTGTGTGTGCCTGGCTGAGGGGAGCAATGTACAGTCTCCCATCGGGAAAGCTTGTCTGGCCCACCCTTTGGTCAGGATTTTCTGTTTTGGGAGATGGTAGTGAAACTGGAGAACTGGATAGAAGACTGCATGAGATTGACAGGGACAGAGGCTGAATCTGATGGAAGGAAGGCCTTTCAAGACAGCAGGAGAGGGCTGGTGAGATGGCTTTGTGCTTACTGCTGTTACAGTTTGGTTCCCAGCGCCTACACTGGGTGGCTCAAACTTTCTGTAACTCCAGCTCCAGGTGATCTGATGATCTCTTCCAGTTTCCACAGGCACCACCCCCCCACACACAGAGACACAAAGACAGAAAATAAATCTTTTTTAAAAAGGCAACTGGTAGATAGGTCAAATGTTCAAGATGGATGTGTAGATGTGTGCAGGACACCCAGGAGAGGAGGTGACCGTGTCTGGGACTGTGGTCAACTGTGGAAGGGGCTAAAGTTACGTCTAATACTAGGTCTAGGGACATAGATCAGAGGGGGCAAATCAATACTACATTCATCCCAGCCATGAACCTGCTTGCAGGATGGTCAGAAAGAGTCACCTGAGTGGGGTGTGGTGACACACACCTTTAATCCCAGCATCTGGGAGGCAGAGGCAGGTGGATCGCTGTGAATCTGAAGCCAGCCTGGTCTACAGAGTTCCAGGCCAGCCTGGTCTACATAGTGAGATCTCTGGGGTGTGAGAGATCTGCAGTTGCGTGCCGATCAGCAGATCCTGAATGGCACACGGACAGGAGCTCTGGGGAGGGCCAGCAGCAGGAGGGTGCAAGGAGAATCCTGGGGCAAACACCCATCAGGAACCGGGCCCCGCAATGAAGTGACGATGGAAGTGGACGGGGAAGGAGAGCAAACTGAACTTTAACTGAGGGTCAGAGGAGCCGTGTGGAGGGGTTTCCTAGCATGGACAGCACTTGACTGTTCATCAGAAGAGAGTGGGACCCAGGAAGCAGGCAGGACACGGAGTGAGCAAAGGCCCACCCAGGTGGAAGACACACGGGGGCCAGCCCACCCGAGGGCCCTTTCTGTGGCTGCACAGCAGACTCCCTGACAAGGCGGAGGACAATAGTGCCCATGGCTTCACATAGCAATGTGGCGGGTCCTAGAGTTGTCCAGGAGATACACTTCTAAGCATGTCTGTGAAAACTTTAGATCAGGTTGAGGGAGGGAGGAAGACCCACCCACTGTGAGTGGCACTGGTGATTCCACGGGCCGGGGTCCTGGACAGCGTAAGAAAATGAGAAGGAGGCTGACCAGCAGCGTTCATCTCTCTGCCTCCTGACTGCAGCGTGGGCAGCAGCCTCACATTGTCGCCAAGCTTTTCCCACCAGAATGGACGGTACCTTCAAATAGCAAGCCAGGATAAACCCCCTCTACCCTCAGGCTGCTTCTGTCACATCGGAGAAGCAACGGGCATAATGCATGGCTCTTTCCTACCGTGAATGTACCGTGATCTACTGAAGATCCACTCCGTGGGACCATGAGTCCTAGTGTGGGCTGCTAGGCCAACAACCCTGGGGACTTGTTAGAAATGCATGTTCTCAAAGAGCACAATCAGAACATCACGACGGATGGAAACCAGTCCAAGACGTGAGGGCAGTGGTTGATGCCCACGTTAAGTTCTCACCCCTGAACCAAGCCACTTTTGTCTCAGAATCCTCCCGCCCAGGGCACACTGGCAAAGGGAACAGGCGGAGAACAGGTCAGCTTCAACTTTCATCTCCCCAGGCTTCACTTTGGAGCGCGGTTTGTAGTCATTAGATATGATTTGCCAGGGGCACACAGGCAGTAAGGGAGGGGGAGCCCCTGAGAACAGGAGACAGGATCTGCCTGGAGACAAGGGGTACCAGTCTCCAAAGGCAGGCAGGGCTCCACCTAAGATGGGCAGTGGGCAACGCTGAGGGCCACATCCATGGCTATGCTGTGACCGTCTCCACTGTATTCACCTGGTCCACAAACAGAAGCAGGGGAACAGGATGACAGGTGATGGATGGGCTCCCCGACGAGGGAGGCAGGAAGACACCTCTGGGCAAGAGCCAGTGCAGGAGGCAGATGAAGATGGCACTGCTGAGCATCCTACCACCTGTGCTTATGACAGCTGTCCTGAGGCCCTCCTGGCTTTACCCATGTCCTCTAAGCTGAAGCCAACCAGAGCTGCAGGATGGTGATCCATAGCACACTGCCCAGCACTGCACTGGCTTAAGGTTCTCTTGCAGCTATCAAGATGGCTACCCAGCAGTGTGTCCAGGGCTTATAAATGGAGGTCCACTTGGTTCCTCGGGTGCCCAGAAACGAGACTCCTTCACCTGGAGTCTGTCCATGTTCTACGCCCGAGATTCTCCCTGGGTTCCTTATGCTGAGTTTTAATCCTGCTGCTGTGATAAAATACCCCAACAAAAACTGAGGGGAGGAGGGGCTTGCTGAGCTCATGATTCCAGGTTACAGGCCACCAACAGGAGGGGCTTCAAACAGCTGGTCATACCCCAGTCAGTCAGGAGCAGAGAGCTGGTCATGGTGACGCACGCCTTTAATCTCAGCGCTTGGGAGGCAGAGGCAGGCAGTGCTCCATGAGTTCAAGGCCAGTCTGATCGACTTAGCTGAGTTCCAGGCTAGCTGGAGCTACAAAGTGAAAGCCTGTCTCCGAACACAAAGCAGAGAGAGACAAACACACACAAGTACGTTTAGCTCAGTTCACCTCCTTTATACAGCCCAGGACCCAAACCAAGGGAACGGGGTTGGCACCTTCGGGCTGTCTTCCCACAACGACCAAGGGGCAGTTCTCCACTGGCATACCCACAGGTCAACTGAATCCAGGTATTTCCTCATTGAGACACTCTTCCTGGTGACCATATTAACAATCAAAATCAACCATCACAGGAGCCCCACGAAAACCCCAGAAATGTTACCCACATACAATTTCCCCAAACCAAGAGCTAGCCACCTATTCTCCAGCCACTCTGTCAAACGATTACCCGAGCAAGAGCCTAACTCCTGCTGGGGTCCCTTCACCTCCTCCTCCCCAGAGGACCCATAAGCTGCTGCTACTGCCCGCTCTCAGCCTTGGCCTGGGGCCCTGGGCTCCTTACAGGCCTGGTCATCCTTGTGTCCTCTGTACGCCACCCCTTCCCAGGTGTACCTGCTCTTGGCTCAGCTGTCCAACAAGATAGTGAGACCAGGTGAGCCAGTCCTGCCTACCTAGGTCCCTGGCCTGGGCTCACCCCACAGCCAGCTCACATAGGCCACCTCCCTCAGGTACCTCAGGCAGAACAGGCCACACCTTCCCTCCTCACAGCCCCAAGCTTACAGTGGAACCATCAGCCCTGCTGTGAGATACTCTGCTGCCTACAGGCCACCTGCTCAGCTTCATATAGACCAGAGCCAGCTAGGGTTTGGAAGACAGTGGTGATGAAAGAAAGGTGGTCTGATTTTTGTCACCACTGCAGCCAGGGGTGTGCTAGGTCGTCAACTGCCACCTGGGCAGCCTGGCTGCTGAGGACATCCTCAGAGAACCCTTCGGGCTTGGGGCCAGCAGCAGCCCTATCTCATCCACACAGGCTTCACTGGTCTCATCTTGAGCTGTCTGGACAAAATGTTCAGACCAGGCCAAAAACAAATTCCTTGTCTCCTGTCTGATGGGTAGGAAGCTTCAAGAAGTCCCTAAAGAAGGAGGCACAGAGGTGCCAAGTCAGGAGAAGCCAACTGGACGCAGCCTATGCCTACACCCCAGAAGTTTCTCGGCCACCCCACCACTAGAGCAGCCCTCTTCCAAGTGGAATCTCCTGCTCACAGGTACCCTTGAAAGGACCTGCCTGATTTAACTCCAGGGCAGATGCTCCACTCAGCAGAGCCACTGTGGCTGGGATGGGCACTTAGGGCCAGCAATGTCCACACACACCTAAGAAGGGCCTCTGTCAACAGAAAGACCCAAGCCACCTGGCTGCTAAGAAGGCACTATACTGGGGTGAGAGACTTTCTGGTGTGACGGCTTTGCTCTGTGATCAACCCAGCACACTCACTGGTTCCCTGAAGGGGACTTTGGCGGAGGTGCACTTCGGTTTATCGATGCCCTACGAGGCGGTAGATGTTTGTATCTCCCCAAAGAATTCTTATAACTGATGGTCAGAACATTCTCCACCTGTGTTCGGGTCAACCTCAGAAGATCCAAATCTTCATCCCGCCCATTCTTGCCAATGGTGAGGCAACTGCACGTTTCCCCTGTAGAAATCCAAACATTAGTCAATAAAACAGAACTCAGCGGACTGCTATTGAGTTTCCTTAATACAGTGTCCATTTAAAATCATCCACAAGGCTTACAGAACTGCTTCAGGAGTCTTTTTTTTTATTTTTGACTTTAAATACAGTATGGAATAAGTTTAAATACATCTCTTTAAACTTTTTATTTAAAAAAAATAACTTTTTCTGAGAAGGGGTCTCACTATATTGCCCAAGCTGGCCCCCATCTCCTGGGCTCAAGCAACTCTCCCGTCTCAGCTCCTGAGTAGCTGGAAGGGCAGGCACCCCTCTCCCAGGTGTGGGCAGGCACCTTTGAGCAGCACAGATGAGCTTCCACCCGACCTGGGGAAGTGGACTGGGATTCGTCAGGACGCCTTTTTAAAAACCAAGAGAAGGCAAACACAGAACCAAATTTTTGTTGTTGTTGTTTTGACAGGGTCTCCCTAGTCCCAGCCAGCCTAGAAGTCACTAGATAGACCAAGCTGGCCTCCATCTCAGAGATCCGCCTGCCTCTGCCTCCTGAGTACCGGGACTAAAGGTGTGAGACAAAACCACATTACTTTATTGCACCAAGATCGTGGCAATATCTGGGGCTCCTGAGCCCCAAAGGAAGTGCAGTGTGGGAACCCTGCACACACAGGTGTGGCAACACAGACTGGACGAGAACGGCCCCTAAACAGGCAAGTGGGAGAGGACGGGGACTCCAGGGAGGCAGCCCTCTGCACACAGGCCCATCACCTCACTGACCAGCCAGAGCTAAAACCGAATGGACCCAACCAAATGACAGCCACCAGAAAGGGTTTAGTTATGTGTGTGTGTACACGTCACCGAGAACATGACCATTTGGGGGCCTTATTCTGTGCCATCCCTGTTTGGCTAATGGTTTCTGAGGAAGGGAAGGGCTTGCCTTTACCCAATGGTGACAAAGGCTGCCAAAAGCCAGGCAGTGAGGCGAGCACTGACAACTGCCCGAGAGGCTGTGCATACGTACTCCCCAGGAAAGGGCTTTATAATGAAGTCCAGCAGAGAGGAAGAGATCGGTTTGGAGAAAACAGAAAGACTCTATGCTGGCAGACAATGCGAATTTTCAACTTGAGAACATCACAGGAAAAATGTGGTCATGGAAACAGTTCATACAGAGACAAGGGTCAACAGTTCATACAGAGACAAGGGTCAATAGCTCAGGAGAAAGGAAAAGCCACCCACAAAGGTGCCTGCCCACCTTCTGCCCAAGATGACGCCAAGATGGCCACTGGTAAGGCCACACCACTGACACCAGACCTACTCACACACACTCAGAAACCAGCCCACACCAAGGCCCATTCTGCTGGGAGAAGCAGTCAGTGGACTGGGCCACAGAAATGCTGGTCCTTCCCATGGTTGTTAAAGGGAAAGACCAAACAGAAAGGAAACCCAGGAGACACACACATAAACTTGCACGATCTTCCCCTCCAGAGAATGCAGCCCTTTTTCATACACCACTATCGAGCGAGGCCCTGGGCAGGAGAGCTGAGCAGAGGTTACAGGGCGACGATGAGGGCAGTGGGCGCCCAGAGGCCCAAAGCAGCCCTAGGACTCCGGGGAGGGGAGGGGAGGTGGTACCCCCTGAGGAAGAACCTTCCCCACCCTCCACCTCCTGGGTGCTGCCTCCTTTCAAAAGCACCTTCACGGAGGAATCCCTGGTCATTATTCTAAGTCTGCGGACACAGCTTGGGCAAGATAAAAAAGGGAGTCTGCTCGAGCCCTACGCTCTTCCAGATTCCAAAGCACTCACAAAACTGAGCAAGTGAAGCCAGTATTTGCATATTAGGGAAACATATTGCTACCGGAAGCCACAGGCCTGGTCAAAAATAAATGTTTTATAGTAAGTAGTAAAATAACGGAGACTTCATCTCCAAAGACCACCGCCGTAATAGAGACCCCAGGTTACCGCAGCTGCAGGGGAAGCTGTGACAGTCCCCGGCAGAGCTAGCAGCCTTAGAAGCAGAGGCATTGGACATATTTCAAGGGTTCCCCCACCCCAAAGAGCTTTGCTTTCTAGAAAGTGTCGGGTTCTTTCGAGGAACTGCACTGGGGGAGGGGAGGCAGCAGCGCAGTCCACACAGGCTTCTTCCTTTCTGCAGCTGACAGGAGTTATACAGAGGCCCCACCAAGGGGGAACACTGGACAGTGCAACCTTAGGAGAGCAAAGGACGGCTCACAAAAAGCCACCCACCACATGTCTGCCATCCTGAGTAAAGGGTACCTCGAGAGGCTCGGGCCCCACCCCGTGCTGTCTCTTGACAGCCCCAGACCAGGAGCAGAGGCTTTTCCCACCTAGACCCCACTGTCTACAACCATGAGAATGCTTGGCCTTTCGGGATGTCCTGTGGGCTGCTGTCAGCTCTGCGTGGCACCACAGGCCAGGCTTTCTCCTGTGGAGTTCACTGGGAATGCCACCTGAGCTGCAGAAGTCCCAAGGTTTCTACACTGGGTCATCTGTGGACAGTGGCACCAGGAGGACCCTCCAGCAGGCTCACAGTGCAGCGGCCTGAAGGTGATGGCAATGGAGTCTGCACAAGGCCGTTCCTCCGATCCAGATGGACAGTTCCTAGGACGTGATGTGACAACTCTGGGAGGCCATGGCATAGGCACACTGGTCTTTCTGGTAAGAAGAGAGACCCCCAAAATCCCACCAGATCCTTGAGTGGGTCCCTTACAAGACAGTCATTCCCTACAAGTAACTAGTACACACCACATACAGAAATTAAATACCACAGGCACACATGCACCAGAGACATAAGAGACACATACCACACACACCAGACACACACACTACAGACACATGCACCAGACACACAAACCATAGAGACACAAACCACAGACCACATATACCAGACACAAGAAGACACATACTATGCATTCTTCAGATAGAATACACATACCAAACAAACATACATATATATAGCATGCATACTACATGCCACGTCATGCATGCCAGATATACACATACCAGATGCACCATAAACACACACACCAAATGTACCAGACCGTATTACGCCAAATGCACACCAAATACACACAAACATACCAGACACCAGATGGACAAATATACCACAGTCACATGATATACACAGACCACAGAACATATACACAGATCATACATATCAGACATCACAGATCACACCAGAGACATATACCACAGACCACCGACACACCACACACACCTCCCCAAAGCATAGGCAAACGTCCCCAGGCTCACCTTCAACAACTGCACCAAGCTCAGCGTCGATAGCTGAGGCTGGTGACCTTAGCTGGGTGAGTCACAGACCAGAAGTTGCGTCTACTCTGAAGCTTCTGGAAGGCATTGAAGTTTCTCCTCTTCTCTCTCTTGAACTTTTTCATTTTCTTTTCCTACAAGAATCACAGTGTCAGGGCTGGAGAGATGGCTCAGCAGTCAAGAGCACTGGTTGTTCTTGCAGAGAACCAGAATTTGATTCCCAGCACCCACACGGCAGCTAACAGCTGTTTTGTAACTGCAGTTCAGAGGAACCGAATGCCCTTTTCTGCCCTCCATGGGCACTGCATGACATGGTGCATTTACATACCTACAGGCAATACACTCATACACATAAAATAAAAATAAAATATTTTTAAAAAAAGAATTGGGCTGCAGAAATGACTCAGCAGTTAAGAGCACCAGCTGCGCTGGGTGTGGTGGCATTTGCCTTTAGTCCCAGCACTCGGGGGGCAGACGGATCTCTGTGAGTTCCAGGCCAGCTGGGGCTATAAGAAGATCCTGTTTCAAAAAGACCGAAAAACAAACAAACCAAAACAAAAAAACCACAACAAACCCACAGCACTGGCTGCTCACAGAGAACCTGGGCTCAGTTCTCAGCACCCACATGGCAGCTAACAACTGTCCAGAGCTCTAGACTCAGTTCTCAGCACCCACACAGCAGCTAACAACTGTCCAGAACTCTAGTTCCTCCAACACCCTTTTCTAACCTCTGCTGGCATTTCATGACGTAGATGCACTCACACACATAAAATAATTAAAAACAAAATATTTTGAAAAAGGAATCACTGTCACGGCAGCTCATAACCATCTGTTAACTCCAGCTGCAGGGGATCAGACATCCTCTTCTGACCTCTGTGGACACCAGGCACACATGTGGTACATACACATACATGTTGGCAAACACTCATACTTAAAAAAAATAAAAAAAAAATCACATTGTTCCAGTTCTGAGAACTCCTCTGAAGCCTGGAAGCTCCTTGCTACACACACAGCATGTGCTCCCTAAGCTGAGGTGCAGCTAGTGCCATGCTGGGCTCCACCATGGGAGGCTCCCAACATCCCTGCTTTACTAAAGGGTCAGAAGCGAGAGGCCCACACCTGCCCACTGCACTGAACACACAAGGAAAAATGGCTCAGTGGGTAGGGAACCTAGGAGGCTGATTCTACCCTGGCCTTGACTACTCTATATGTGGCTGGACTATAAATTAATTGCATGCTTACTTGCTGCCTCAAGCCCACAGTCACAGCTACATACCGTACCTTCCCTCGATCAAACTCTTCATCCCAATCGTCGACCACGGTCTGGGTTCGGGCCAATCTGCTGTCTCTGATGGCATCCTGACTGACTGCTGACAGTTCACCATCCCAGGTCAAAACTGTGTAACACACATACTGTCAGCAGGCCTGTGAGTCCAGGCACCCCAAAGACTCCCCTCAAGACACTGACCACCTAGATTCACCTATCAGTAGTAACTCGAGGTTTCTGACTGCTGCCTTTCAGCAGAAATGGGTCCATGCAGAGGGCTAGGGGAGCAGCTGCCCCAGAGAAACACCAATGTGAAAGCAAATGCTCTTCTTTAACCTCCACATCCTACTGCAAACCTCGCCTCACTGTGAGCTGTGTTCACATTTCAGAAAAAGGGTGTCCTGCTCCCACTCCAGGTCGGACTTGTAAACAGAACTCAGAACCACCAGCACTGGTACTGGACGGGCTTCTCCCTTCACCCTTCCCAACTGGGGACCCAATGCTCTGCCCAGCTGGCCTGAGCGGGTGCTCCCCACTATGCCTTGCTCTTGGGCCTCAGATCTCTTGGATCCCTCCGTGCATACGATCTGCCTTTGTGTCAGAGGGGGTTGGGTTAAAGTGCATTTAACAATGCTTGGATTGGTTTATATATAGACAAAGCTGGTCTCATTCTTAAGAGATCTACCTGCCTCTGCCTTCTGAGTGCTGGGATTAAAGGCCTGAACCACCACGCCCAGCTGGACTGAATTTTTAATGCTGGATAGCATCGCCTGCCACATCTTACATTCACCAAGACCCGCCCCTTCCCACCTCCAAAATGAGCTAATCCCTGGGAGGTCCCACTTCAATTCCCCACCTTTTCTCCCATAAGCCTTATCAGAGGAGAACTGGAGCAACTCCTGGACCACGTTGGCTTCTTGCTCTCTGTTCCAGGGCACCAGAGGAGCCTGTCCCAATCCTGTAATCAGAGTACATGCTAAAACCAAGCCACGGAAGGAACAATCACACCAGGAACCACAGTGCTTGCTAATGATAAATGCTTAGTAGTGATGATTTCACCCAATAGAAAAGGCTATTGTCCAAGTCAATTCTTAAGAAGAGAAAAAATAGGCCCAGGCGTGGTGGCACACGCCTTTAATCCCAGCACTCGGAAGGCAGAGGCAGGTGGATCTCTGAGTTCAAGGCCAGCCTGGTCTACATAGTGAGTTCCAGGACAGCTGGGGCTACAGGGAGACCCTGCTTCA